AATAAGGGGATCTAGAGAAACGGAAAATTAAGTGGCTGCTGAATTAATTGCATTCAAAATTTTCTGAGTTTCAAAACTGTTGAACAAGCAGGATGCACTGCCTCTTCAGAATTTATTATATTCAGAAAATATTGAATGCACTTAATTCAGGAGATAGATTAGCCAGTGTACAAAATATGTAGCTTAGGTGAATTTTTTTTTCTACCAACAGCCAATTGGTATTTGGTGCCACTAGACAGCGGATGGAAAGTGTGAGCTCAACATTTGTTGACCAGAGAAATAATTAAGTTCATACTGTAGGAATAAAAAACGCCCGAGCAAACTTAAAGTAATTTCCCTAATGATATGACACAGATGATGAATTTTTCGTGCAAGGAATCTATATCATTGACTTAGAGTTTTAGCCGAGACTTTCTTGGCTCGGACAATTTTGGTGCAATTGCGATTATATTCTTTACGAATCCATGCATTGATAAATGTTTATTTGTTAGTAGCTTTGTTTCTTGAGTGAATTCGTGAAGCGTAATTGATAGCACAGTGTTACAGAAGTTCAATTACTAACACTCGACGGTATCGGTTGCCTCTGACGTGACTTTTTTCAACTTCGATGTATTGAATCTTTATCGACTATTACATATACAAAATAACACGAAACTGATATTATTCAAGTTCGTGCTATTCAGGAAGTTCTCTGAAAACAACAGGTATTAATTATAGGTTATTCGCTATATCTACTATTTCGAGTTTCTTTCGGGGTAGCAAAAAGTTCGGCAGGCCAGGAACAGGAAGAAGTCAGGCTATCTGAGAAATACATAGACGAATAAATGAACATTTTTCAAATAAACAAAGACATTTCGTACTGGAAAAACAGACTCTCTACTTGGACTCTGATGAAGAAAGACTTCAGATTCAGAATTTTGATCATAGAAATGCTGACCGCCTCATGCTGTCCCTTACGGAGCGCGTGTACGGAACAGCGCCGTGTTAACGGGACAGCACCGTGTTATCGGAACAGCGCCGTGTTAACGGAACAGCGCCGTGTTAACGGAACAGCGCCGTGTTAACGGAACAGCGCCGTGTTAACGGTCCGTGTTAACGGAACAGCACCGTGTTAACGGAACAGCGCCGTGTTAACGGAACAGCGCCGTGTTAACGGATTGCATATTCCGAACCGTTAAGGAACGACCGCACCGGAGACGTATACATGGTATATTCTGCTATAGGGTAATGCATGGTTATAATAGAAGCAAAATGAAGGTCAATGATGGGTCATTATCTTTTTTGCAAATAGGTTTTATTCATCTTTATCTATTAACAATGGATCAAAGAAACAAGAGAAATTAACAGTTTTACAGTACGAAAACGTACAAACATCATTAAAATTATTATTATTAATATTTTGTCACTATTTTACATAAATACAAATGAATTAGACGAAAATACAATCCATTAAAATTAAAGTCTACATATTTCATTCAGTCGAAAAAGAACCAACTCTTCGATTAATTCAGCTCGTTCTCATGATCATAATAACCCAGCATAATATTACTTAAATATTATTATCGACAACAAACGAAGCGTTGTTATTAATGCGCACAAAGAAATGCAGGTTCCTGTATTAAGTATAAATAAAAATTCCTGTATTAAGTAGTTATAAAGGACGCACGGGAAGTTAACTGCCATCTTCTAAAATTCAGTGAGTCGGCCACGGAACGGCAACGGTCGACTCCGTTAAAGTGAACAGCCTGGCCAACATCTACTCACTTAATAAACGTCTACACTTTCACTGCACCAAGACAGTTTATTTGTCCAGTTTACCTACTTTGTTGTAACAGTTTATTCTCCCAGGAGCAATTTCTGCCGCTGGAAGACATCAACTATGACGTGAATAACTTGTTATAAATTGAAATCATGCGGGTCTTGCTCGTAAATATAAGAATATTCGAACATTTATCGCACGTGTAAGAGTTCAAACCTGTGTTGAGGAGGAATGTCCGAACATGACCATATATATTCATGCCCATATACAAGAAGCTGCGGCGTCATAATTATGACATCAGAGCGAAGCTCATTTAAAGAATGAAGCGAGCCTAAGAATCATTGCAATAGCTATTGTTCTTTGAAATAGTCAACATGGATTAAAAGATTCATTAAGCTGAAAAGGGGCGGCCAGTGAAGAATGTACTTATATGTGTGGATTTATGTGGCACCTATATATAGAATACGGGTTCTCAAAACCTTGCTATTCACGCAGAGAGAATACAAGTGTATTGTAATTTTGCAGTTTTGTTCGGTTGCTCTAGCCACTCACATGAATAAAATTCAATGTCTGCATGTAATAAAATAGTGAACTTATTTCCCATATCCGCTTATCAGGTCAAATCCTAAAGCCAATAAAAATACATATAATTCAGTTCGACAACCGTGGACCTAAATTTGACTTTTTTCATCTTTATATACGTGGTCTCGAATGTGGAAACTTAGTATCAATTCGTATGTAAGGCATCTGATATTGCCACAAAGATGTCGCACAACGCATGTATGCTCGTCTACGGATATTTAACGCTCACATCACAATTGCCATCGCGCACAAAACACATTAAGTACGGAAATGACTTCCTCGACAAAACGTATTACAAATTTCTATCTTAAAATTATGTTAATTTACGAGTATACACATTTAATAATTGTACAACCAACTTTCATTCTTGTTCAATGTACATAATTCAACCAGTTGTTTGCACTGTAAACTTAACATAATTTGTTTCGTAATCCACAAGTCGATAAATCTTGAAACATCTCTTCAAGATTTGAGTCTGGCCTTATGTTTATAATATCTCCGGGATAGAAAATACGTTAAATAAACTTAAAGTAATTGGATAAAGACCAGAAGCATTTGGGGTAGTCATAGCTGTTATTATTTCATCGTATTAAACTATATACACACCGCGAAGGTAGCGGAAATATTTACACAACATAACACTGAGAAGCAATTGGTGCTTAGATCATTTCTACAGCATGAGACATTAACATTAGTATCACCTTTCATTTGATCACAACACAAACATAAGAACAATGAGTGGAGTGTAGTCACAATGAGCTAAACAACAATAACCAGCCAACTTTAATACGGTGTATGGCGTACTATATGTGAAGACTCCCAGACAAATTATTTTGATAGCTATTGCTTCCTGCATCGACGTGAGTGATGGAAAATATTACATTTTATATAATCGTATAAAGCAATTTTCCTCCGCGGCGACAGTTAACGGAGGCATGACGGGACTTAGCTAACAGTAATTCATGTGGTCTAGGAATAAAAAGAAGTTAGAACCTGCAATTTAAGTAAATCTAGGAGTGCGTAGAGATGTCCATGTCATCCTTACAGATATCTAGACGTAAATACGTCGGCACCGCATAGATCCTGCCTAATTAAGGGTACGCACACAGTGAAAGCAAGTTTGCCCGCGCGGGCAACCTGCTCCAACCTGCCACAAGAATGAACATATATAGGATAATAATGTAAGTGTTCACAGTGAAAACCTGTACGAATAGGCTACTGTGTTCTATGGTTTCAGGCGCCAGCCTGAGCAGGTAACCAGCACGCTGGCAACCTGCTTTCACTGTGTGCGTACCCTAAGGAACGGTTTTGCCGATGATCTATTGAAATACATGTAATCTTGTCATATAACTAATTAGCCCAGAATTTGCACCTATTATTAGCACAATTAAAACCCACTTGCCATAACACAAGTCTCATGTTTCCTGACATACTTTAAATGCAGTAGACGAGCATTGTTGAGGTTGAGCAAGATAAGATATTGTACAATATTAAATTAATGCTTAGTTTGAGAGTTATTCGCGCAGAGAATTAGTTAATTAATTTGTTAATAATATCCGAAAAAATTTCATTAATCATTTCCTAGCAAGCCAAACTTGGTCGTTTGATGCTTCTAATTTTTTGAAAACATTTGAATTCATGCACTAACAGCTGTTCTCGTTATTATTGGCAAATTACTATGAAATAATGAAAAATTTAAACGTAGTTTTACATCAAGTTTGAATCAATTATTGACAGAAAAGAAACAAATCAAAGTGCTTGGCAGACTAGGATTAGAAAACGTTGAAATTTTACGAATAATTATATTTTACCATAAATTTGTGATTTTAGAAGGTCCGATGATACACAATTCACTATGCATAATGATACGCAAAAAATGTACAAATTTCCATGTCTCTTCGAGAAAACTCCAGCCATTGTAAAAAAGGAAAATGTAAAATTTTAGCTAACTGAGAAATTTGTTTCAACAAAATGTAAATAAATTACGTACTGTTTTTTATGCAGCTAACCATGCTTTGGTGAGTGGAGATCAAGAATACATGAGCTATTCAAGTTAAATGAATACATCGCTTTCTGGAGGTTTTTTCTCTGCCCATTTTTCAGTATGGTACAGAAATTCGAGAAATTTTCACCCAAACTATTAACGTCCTTTTTAGTTTCTACGTCAATGACGCATTGTAAAATTTGGATACATGTTCGTGAACGGTTGCTGGCGATGTCGGGAGATCCTTTCGAACTTAGCATAATCAAATATATTTGTAAGAGATTAAGAATCGCATGGAAAAATGTTAAGAATTAATCACACTCCTAATTCGTTTGCTAGAATTATATTCAATTCATAAGAAAACCAATAGGAAGAAAATAACACCTTCAGTACTTGATTGCCAATTGATTAAAAGTACTGAAGGTTTGTCGTCAATTGATTAAAATATTCTCATAGAAAATGACAATCAAAAGAGGAATAGTATTAATTTTTGTCGAATGGGGAGATAAACTACTCTATTAAGCTTATGTTATACAAAAAATGAGAATGAAACTACGACCTTACATAAAACTTTTGTGAGATTATTATAACATGTAAGCATTTGTTCCATTGCGAAATAAAGCCGGTATCTTCACACTTGTTTTAATACAGCAACGGCTAGCCCAGCCACACATGTGGCAAATAATCAACGCAAATACAATGTGGAAGAGAACACAGGATTCAAGAAAACCTATCGAAAGAAAGTTAAATAATTAATCCAACAAACATCAATGCTGAAAGTCAGTCAAAGAATCGTTATTAAAGTTACTCATCATGCGTCACCTATTATAACTTTAAATATACACGCTACTAAACTATTTACTTCAGTTACTACATAAGGCAGGCGGACGCATTTTGTATTGGACGAAGATATTTCAAGATATACGTAATAATGCTTGAAAAAAACACGATATCTTCAAAAAGCTCCTCTCAGTAATTATATATTACTGTAACCCACTGACAACATGGAACACCAGCATCAATTCGGGTGCATTGGACGATTGAGTAGAAAAATTATAAAGTCTATTTGCACTAAGTTATTATATAGAAGACGCTATGGAGAAGAAGTCCTCATAGAGGTAATTTCTTGCGAGTTTTACTCTCCTTGTCAGCGTGTCGTCGTATGACTGTGTTCTCGTCGCCGTGTCGCCGTCTGCGTAAGACGAAGTTCAGGTCGTGCACGGTGCTGATGGCGTAGTATACGTTAGCTGATGATGGCAAGATCATTTCTGTGGAACAAGAGACAAAACTCGTAGTGAAAATAATGCAGGGGAATGGAATACTACAAGTTTTGCAAGAATTAAGCGAATTTCAAACCATCGAGCGATATTGTTCCGCTTAACTAAATGAAAATTTAACAATTAAAAAAATATGAATTGACACAGCATATGAGCAGAGTGGAAACTCTGATAACACAAGTAATTTCTATGGAATAATATGAGTATAGAATTGGATATTCGTATTTACTGGTACTTTATGATACATATTCATTATTTTAAATAGCACAATTACGATTGGCAAATTTGATCTCAGTAGTCACAATTTCCCAGAAACTATTTGTGGTCATTATCCCAGCAACTCCTGTGCATTCAAACATCACGCGCAATTAGCTCACACCTTCCACCATTTGGTAAATATTTTGTTCAAACAAGTAACGCTCAACAGTTTCTCATTTCAAAAACAATTCATCGCCCCCATGCCTAGTTAGAACAGACGCTTTTCCCCGTCAGTGGCTGCCGGGTCGATGGACGGTAAAGGGGCTGCACCAACATTTCCATGGATGTAACCACCCACAACTATACATGATAAATGTACTCGTTCACCTCCATGGGGCAGGAGCTGCTCCAGCGTGGCGGTGGACAGTTCCGTTTAGAACCAAGCCTGAGGACCTGACGGCTCACCTCCATGGGGCAGGAGCTGCGCCAGCGTGGCGGTGGATGGCGTTTAGAACCAAGCCTGAGAACATGACGGCTCACCTCCATGGGGCAGGAGCTGCGCCAGCGTGTAGTCGTCAGGAGGCTCGTCAATGCCGTGCTTCTCCATGGCCGCCTTCACGACGCTGGCTGTGCGCTCGTTGTTCGTCACCATGACACTTTTGTACAGGTTCACTCCTGGCAAGAGGAACGCAGTCAGTTTTGATCATCATGGAATGGGTGCTGAGAAAGATCATCAGTGCGGAAATCGATCAACGTAATTGCAGGAAACAAATCAAAAACAGAATTGGCTTTAGCTGGTGAAACAAAGGTAATGCAATGTTAATTAAATGAGATACCGTAGTTAATATTTTCATCAATCTTTAGCGCATATCAATATATATTGAACACACTTGCACCCTTTGATGATGTTAAAGGCAATACCGGTAGTTTCCAAAAATCTCACAATTTCAAATCGGAATTACTAAGTGCATTCTGAAAAAAATCGGTAACGAACAGAATAGAATTAAGAATTTTCAAGCTCACTGACCATCCGATTCCTGGGCATTGTTTTCCAGAGACACTTTAATTATATAGAAGTCAGGAGTGATGTACGGATTCACAGGCACATTGTTGCTTTTATCCAATGCAGTGTTTCCTCCTGCACTAGAAGAGCTCTTAGCCGAGGACATGGTTGCATTGAGAGAAACTTGACCACTTGAGTTACTAAAGCTGTTCTGCATTACGTTCGACAAAGACGTCGATGCGTTGGACAAAGACGTATTAGAAGTCATCGAGGTATTGGAAAGAGAGTTATGGGTAGAACAGCTAGACATGACAGCTGTAGGTGCATGTGCGTGATCTTCCGCTTCTCCCGCGTGCTCTTGAGATGCATTTATAAGATTGCCTAAATCAGGTGCCTCTACAGGGCTAATTTGAGGATCCCTTGTATTGGCTGTGATATCGTGAACGTTGTTCACGGACGCCGTTGTGGCGTTGGAATGTAGAGACGCGTCTAGAGAAGGTTGCGAGGAGTTGGTGGAGCTAGTGGACATCTAGGGGGGTGGGGGCAAAAGGTTTTCGTCAATATTCAATGCATACGATTAGTTACTACAGATGCAACGTAACATAAATATTCGTTATCATCCACTTGACTTGAACCAACACGTTAAAAATGCCATTAAAAATGCAAATCTAAAACAAAAGTCCAACCTTCCTGAGAACACGAGAGGCGTTCGAGTCCTGGGCGGGAGTTGTGTTGTTGGTAGAGTCTGTGTCCAGGAAGAACTGGCTGTTCGAGGACCCGCTCGACGTGCTAGCGATGCTATCGTTCTTTTTGTGACCCAGCCTGCAATTAGAAACATGATATACCGTACCGATAAAAAGGTTGGTCCTCAATTAGCTCATAATTCCTTAATTACCCACCTAAGTTTTTGATTTTTTAATAAGATGATGCTGATGATCTCGAGGAACTGAACTATTACTTCTATCAACGACGCAGCTATTTTTCACAATTCCAGGACAATATTCCACAGTGCGAACCAACTCGTCTAACATTGCCTTTCCACCATCAAGACTCCTAAAAATCCTCTATTCCAGAGCCTTTTTCTAAAATTGCCCCTGGTATTCTTCCAAGGTCAAAATAATCAAGATTCAACTGATAATAATACAGCAAATTAATGTAACAGATTTCTCACTGGGCAGCTCGTTTTTTGATCCTGTTTTCCCTGGCAGCATTAGCCGTCTGGTTGGCTGGCTCATAAGGCTCGATGTCGCAGCTCAGACGCCACGACTCTTTGTCGTCCAGCACGAGCGCAGAGTCCCACCACTGGTCGAACTGCACGTCGGGCTCCAGCTGGTACGCGGCCGCCGCGCCTTGCAGCAGCCGGATCTGTGCAAATTTATCATTTCTGTTATTAGCTTCGCAAAGGTAAAATATTTAAACATATTTGGTTGCTAACTTATCTTATTGAATTATTTTCAAAGAAAAAAATAAATACCGAGACATCATGAGAATGATCTAAATAAATTAAACCTTTCTAGTAAATTAAATATTTTCGTTTAGATTGTGTGATGATAACAAAAATATTTCGTTTGAGTTTCGCTGATGAATAATTCATGGTTTACGTATTGATGGTAAAGATTAATTAAGTTTAACTCAAAGTCTAGGATTAGTAACAGTATCAACTTTAACTAAATCATTTCAATTCGCAGAAAAGTTACGAAAGATCTTACGAGAATACTAATTAGATATACCACGACTACTAACCCAAGAGCATGACAGCTACCCTACTGAATTCATATTTCAATTTCAAGATAGTACAAATTTATAATATATTTCACACAATAAAAACCAGAATTAAATCTACATTAACTAGTTCTGCTTCGTAGCAGTTGAGTCACAGAGAGGTTCTTACCTGGGCCAGCACTTCGAATTCTTTTCTCTTCTTATCGAAGTTGATGAGACCGTCGTGCACGGTGTCGGGGATGGCCGTGTCTATCATCATGAGATCGGTGAGGAATGTCCCCAGGTACGGAATGGTGCCGTGGTTCACAGCCTGCAAGTTACCATGACTCACGTTCAATAATTTTTCTTACAGATCATTATAACCAACTATCAATCATTCGTCCAAAAAAACTGGCGATTATCTAGAACTTATCATAGGCAGAATTTTTACCAGTTTGAGACGACATCCGTGACATCAGCTCATACACGTGCTTTTTGAAGAGTCTGTTATGCTAAGATATTACCGATTCGATGACATAATATCTTATTACCTCGTTAATGATATGCGTTGACTTACGAGAGGGTTGTTAGCGTGCTTCTCGATCGCTTTGGGCAGATGTCTGTCGTTGGCGTGCGCCGTCTGCGCATGCTTAGCTGTGCCCTCGCGCATCAGAAGCTCTCTTTGGTTTAGTCTGTTGTTTTCTTCACTAAATATGCGTGCTAGCTCCTCGTATACTTCACACTGCAACAACAGGTGAACATTTTGTAACTTCAACTACCAAGAGCCGAGCATAATATTTACGATAAAATGAATAAACAAGGTGAAGGTGTGAGAATTATGTGCCAACACATGTAAGATGTGGATTGTTTTTCAATCTTGACTGTTACTCGTACATAAATAACGGAATGCTGAAAATTTTATTCTGGACTTTCTGGACTTGAACTTGTTTCATCAAAAGAAACAAAAAATTATACAAAAGGACGAACAGTTTTTTGTTTCTATAAAGGGTCAATAATGACATTCTTTGGTTATCTTCCGATTTTCGAACGAGTTACACACTTTTCCCAATAAAACCTGTACTGGCTTAAAATGTCATAATAACCACGAACATAAAGTATTTCGTTTCATTGCAATAATTCATCCGATATTATTCGTGGCATTGTATCCTGTATCTCTACAGATCCTCAGTTTCAGCTCCTATGGTCATCATATAAACGCACATTTAATTCAAGAGATTTTGCAGGGAAAAAATCTTCATCAAACATTTCTGACTCTCGTAATGAATACTTGAAGCTCTGGGATGTGTCGCACATATAAAAGTCTGCCTGTCTGCCTCACCTTTTCTTTAGGTACACAAGCCCAGACTTTCTTGAGTCGGTAGATTGGATTAGATTGCAGGCCGGCTATGATGGCCTTCAACGAAGAGAAGTTCTTTAAAATACGTAACTCCTGAAAATAGAAATTTAAATTTAGTGCTATAGAACCACTGTACTTAGTTATTCTCCCTATTGTAAAGTGTGTCGTCAGGCTATTTGCCTACGCCAGACTATTCCACTAAGAGTTTTAAAATACAGGTATTTCATACGCGTTCAATCAATGAAGCGTAAATTTCCTGAAACATATACAGGAGCTCGATTAATGATGCATAATTTACCCGAGATAGTGCAGCGATGATTAAGTTATGAAAATAATTTACCAGAGTTGCTTCATTAACGCGTAAAAAATCTAATAATTTATCAGAATACGAGATTGATGCAGCCTCGTAGGTCGTGAATCATTCACCTGAACTACATTGATACACTAGATTATAGTTCACACGGAGAATATACATAAGCAATATCGATCCACTCGATTAGTGTAATAGGTACGTCCCTGAAGGTTCACCTGAGCTATATCGATCCACTTGACTAGTATTATATGCCCCTGAAGGTTCACCTGCGCTATATCGATCCACTTGACTAGTAACTTGGCCCTGTCTGTGGCCCGGAGTTCAGTATTAAGCAGCACGGTGGACTGGACGCGGAAGCTGACAGCGTTGAACTGGTCGACGGTGGCGGTGACGGTGGCCGCCTCGCCGCCGCGCCCCGTGCCTTTGCTGTGCTTGTCGCGGCGCCCCCAGATACTGCCCAGGCACTGGTGGGCGATTACGTTCCGGAATAATATCTGCAAGAGGAAGAAAACGTAAGCGGATAATTGCAGATGTTGATGTTAAATGAAAGTGAAATACACGTTCCGGAATAATATCTGCAAGCCAGCGAAGACGTAAGCGGATATATGCAAATGTTGAGGATAAATGAAAATGATATACGGATAAATGAGGTTATTGAAGTGAATTGTAGCTGGATACTTGAAGAATAATATCTGCAAGCCAATGAAAACGTAAGCGGATAATAATTGCTAATGTTGATGTTAAATTAGAGTGAAATGCAGATAAATATGGTTAGTGAAGTGAATTGTAGCTGGATACTTGATGAGTTTAAGGAGTATTACTTGAAAATGAAAGGGCATCGCTTCAATTTCTTCAATGATGTAGTTTGCGAAGCACAATTATTGACACGGGGAATAGTAAATGCTGAAATTATATGAATAAGACGTATAGGTATAACGTATAAGTGTTATTAGGGGTATTGCAGTGTGGACATTTGATATATTTGACGAGTAAAACTTGTTAGGCAACAGTAACGCTTTATTCTTTCTAACTTGAAAAGGCCGAGTTAATTATTTTATGCAAATAATGAAACAAGAAAAGTAATAATTTGAAGAGGTTTTTCCTCACCATGTCCATCCTGGTGAGCTGATTAGCGAAGACTGTAACGGGAATATCAGTGAAGGAGGAGTAGGGGGGCGGCACGGGGGAGGAGAGGTGGATGAGACCTCCATTGGCCCTCCCGCAGTGCAGGATGACGTCATCACATGACACCACTCCTGATAGACTAGATTCTGGCGTGGAGAAAATATTACGACGATTATAAAACTCAAAATGAATTATTTGTTAATGGTTATACTACATAGACGACATATTTTTTAAAGTATAGTGAATTTATTGTCGATTCTTCATTTACATCTGAGTTATATCCCTCGATTTTTAAAAACGATTGATGACCCGATGCATTCTGATATAGGGAATACATTATAAATATAATTCAAGTTTTCAATTCAAAAACTACACCCACGATTTCAAAACGCAAGTGGTAAACAATTCGTATTATGAAAGATAAATATAATTCAGGTTTTCCATTCACAAACTACACCCATGAGTTCAAAACGCAAGTGGTAAACAATTCGTATTATGAAAGATAATTATAAGAGCCCACCACTTTCTTGTTGTTCGCGTATCATCTTCTCGAGTTTGTACTGAGCTTTGACATGCAGGTCAGAGTCCCTGAGATGTTGCTCCGTGAAGAGCTTGAGTTTACGCAGACATGCGTAGTCTGGCGGCGAGTTGAAGTCTTCAGGGTACATGTCCAGCCACACCTGCAGCGTGAGTCGCAGGGCTCTGGCATTGGAAAAATCATAATAAATTCAGAGAAAAATGGGCACATATATGACGAATATTAATCAAATTAGTACATGTCCAGCCACACTTGCAGCGTGAGTCGCAATGCCCTGGCAAGGAAAAATTCATGATTTATTCACAAAAATATGGGCATATTTGACGATTATTAATTCAATTAGGAATTCGTCATAAGAATAACCTTTCGCCTTAAGCGAAAGGTTTTAACGTAACGTTATAACGAAAAGTTTAACGTAAACGTAACGTTTTCTCCTGTATTTTTACGTAACTTCACGTGGATTCCAGGCAAGTAATTTGATCGAATGAAGTGTTGTTTAATAGTTTCAGACGGTGTTCATAGTATCATATAGATAAATATATAAGAACACAAATTGAATGCTTTTTCGTAATTCTCTACCATGTCATACGTTTTTTTATGCTAATATTTTAGGCTCTCTTCTTTTAAAATTAAGCATAGAAATTTGATTGTGCAAGATATTTAAATATGAACAATACTTCAGCTGAAATTTCTAGCCAACCTGACCGCTATCTGCAACTCACTTCTTATGTTCCTCTCTGAGATGTTCAGGAACATTGACCTCTTCATTGAGAGGGTCCATGAGAGCGAGGTAGCGTTCGAGGATGAGGTCGAGCACTTGGGGCACCGTCGAGAACGTCCTGAAGGTGGCCAGGAAGACGTTGACGAAGGTGCTCTCGAGCTCACCAGTCTCAGTGGACGCGAGACTCTCGATGAGCTTCTCAAGAGTGCCCGCTTTGAGGAACCAAACTCGCACCGTCTCCCACTCCAGGTGCGAGATATCGTCATCTTCTGTCTCCTGTACAATGTTAATTGTTACCTTCATGCTTTTATTGCGCGGCTTACTAAAAATTCATTGACATTCATCTTCTGTCTCCTGTACAATGTTAATTGTTACCTTCATGCTATTATTGCGTGGCTTACTAAAAATTCACTGCCATTACTATGCAAATATTGCTATATTTTTATTCCTGAACACAGTGTATAGAGAGCAGTTCAAGAATATAGTAGCGATATATCAAGCATTAGGGGTAAACCCAATATTTTGTTCACTGTGCGAGGTCATCTTCTGTCCACTGAACAACGTTCGTGGTTATGCCAACGCTATTGTTGCGAGGCAAATACAACATTCACTACATTAATATGTAATGTTTGATTTTTTCTCAATACTGGACACAGTTCTTCACGAATTCTTCAAAGTTATACCTGCTAAATTCATGAGGTGAAAACTCAACATTTCATTCACAAAAAAGTCGTTATTTTTAGACTTCTATGAAACATACAGTTAAATGTTATTGTCGAATTCTTTGTGATTAATATCTTGGCTTGTCGCCAGATTTAGTCATCTTCTTGAAACGTCGAGGGAATATTAAACCCCGTTGTTATAAATTTTCCTGAAGCTCAAATATACCTATACGTAATTTACACTTCATAAACAATATGGTATGATCAGTTCTCTTGAAATATGAAATAGTATTAACATGATAATAAATTCGATTGTACGAAATATACATCGCGGAGCTTCACGTTTGCATGGACTCGAAAATTGTAAAAATTTTAAGCTTCTATTCAATCAGCACAGAATGATAAAATTGAAATCGAGCCAATACTGGAATAGAGCTAACAATTGAATTGTGTTAAAATTTAAATCGAAATATTACTGAATTTAAGCTTAAATTTAAATCGAATTAATACTGAATTAAGGCTTGAATTAAAATCGATGTAGATGTAAATTAGAAGTGTAAAATAAAATGGGGTTGACAGGAGAACCGCACCTGAGTGATGGACCGCGAGGGATGATGATATCGAACTTTCTTGAGGTAGACCGTGTATATGGCGCCATCGACCCTCTCTTCTCCCCACAGTCGCCAGCTTGGGGCCTGGTAATACAACTTTGTTTTAGTACATCCTTAAACAATATACACTACATACACACGTTATGGCCCTATGTAAACTAAAAAATATATGTGAATGTTGATTTTAATATTATGCTTACAACATATCAATTTAAATTTTAACATTTCAACATATCGCAGGTTGTTGAGGAGATATTGACGAGGTAAACCAAAAACTTTAAAAATCGAGCAATTGCTGTAAACTGAAGATGAAAACACAAAAATTGTTTATCGTCCATTATGTATAAAAAATTAAAGCCTTACAGCATATCGGACTCATAAATAGTACAATTATGACCAAGACATCGGGTAATCAAAATCTACTCAATGAAGCCCCAAGAAAAATTTTTGTACTAACATCAAAGGAAACTATGATCGAAAAATTCTACATTTATAATTGATCCAATGGCATTTTTTGAAACAGAAGTTACTACTTGATTCAACCCAATTAAATAAAACTTCGATGTCGATAAATTTTCTGTTCGGAGAGAAATACGCGCGTTTGTTATCGCGGTTATCGCGGCCGCAAATCTGACACCCTGACAAAAGATTCTGTCATCGAATCTGAGACGGCGCTAATATGACGACAAATTCTGTCATCAAATTTAGTACCTATCACACAAATTTTGACTGTTTCCTCACAGTATTAATTCAAATTAATATATTTTTCATAGTACAGTGGCAAGTCATGTATAGGTATAAAAGTTACAGTCTGGTTATTTTTATAATTTATACGGAAAATTAGGCAGTCTAGAACAATTATATTGACTTTTTAACGATCGCGGTAAAACAATGACCGCTTTAGGCAATAATTAGCAAATTAATGATACTAATCATTTTTTAACAATCCTCCTTCAAGTCAATCTCCAACATGATATGCTAGATGAAGGATATAAGTTTCTGCTACGAAATTTTCGATCTATTTCGACCGTACAAGGACATTACTAATAAAATTTATATAACTTATCAGAAAATCGATAAATGATGAGGTTGTTCTATAGAAAATGCATTAAATATGTTCAATTTGCTGGAGTCTCTTTATTAGGAATGTACGTTTCACCGAAGATTGTCCGGCAATAGGCCGTTAAGGTTTGCTTCATGCTTACAAGACCACATTTTAAAATGTTTACGAGACCACCATGTTTCTGTTTAACAAAACTGGAATATTACAAGTTTACAGGATCACAATGTTGATTGTTGACTTGACCACATTTTAACGTGTTTACGAGACCGCCATGTTCCTGGTTAAAATAACTGAAATGTCATAAGTTTACAGGATCGCAACGTTTCTTGTTGACTTGACCGCAATGTTATATTTGTTTACACGACCCAAAACGCTCGTTAGCAGATCGCCCCAAGGCGCCACACCGAATAATAATATGTAGGCCAGCTGATGGCTCTATAGAGTACGACACGACCGAGTTCATTTCTATCCCCATCGACAAGTCACGAGTCCTAATAAAAGCAGCGGTCAGGTGTCGGAGCGCTGCCCCGTTTGTTCCCTGACCCAGAGCATTAAGGCACCTGCGTGATATCAGTGCGCCAGGTGAAATTTTTTGTAGTCTTGACTGTACTAATTGCTGATTTATCTGTGTACTATAATTTTCGAAGTGACGACGAAGATGGAATTTGAAACTTTTTTATGAAGTATGAATTTTTGTGAAATTTTATTTGCTACTTAGTTTCTACTTATGAAATGAGTTGCATACTTCGATTAATTTGAACCATAAAAAGAGGCATTTTATTCCATTCTAGAATTAGTGACAGAACTGATGCAAAGTTGCTTTTTAACAGAGATACTTCTTATATTGATATATCAATTTCGCGAACAGAGCTCGATTTTTTTACAAGCCGCGCTCGATTTCTTATAGAAGACGCGCGCTATCGATTACAAGTTAACAAGAAAAGAACTGCATTTATCTATCGTATATCGGAAAAATATAAAAAAAAACAATATTTAATCGCAGGCATAATTGTATAAATTTGAATGTGGCAAGATTGCGACTGATCAGTCAAAGCTCCAACCATATATTTCATAAAATGAAGCTATATATTGGCATAACCGTACATGCTTCAACAAACAAGGCTAGCGCAATTCTAGGGTACTCTACTGATAACCTTTAGTAAAATCTCATTAAAATGATCTCTGATTATATGATGAAGCGCATTGACTTCCTGAGAATAAATCATGCATAAAAATGGGCGATCTTTTTTGTGGTTTGTAGTGTGCCAATCTGCTGCATATATAGCCACATTCCTTAGTCATGATAATATAGGAGAAATCTAATCACTTTTCAAGAATTATGATTGACCAAGTGAGAGATAAATTTTTGCGCTCAATATAATAACAATATAATAATATAAAAATAATTCGCTCAACAATTGCTTGAAAAAGCAGCTAAATATTCCGACTAGTCCGGTGGGCTAGCGATGCAGCTCGTGGCGCCAAGCTCTCGCGGGGTTGCCAGAACATGCGTAGCATGGGTGCAAAAATAAACTGGTCGAGTGTTTACTTGCTATGACGATGGCGCGGAATTCTTTCAAAACTAGCTCAACTAAATACAATGTAACACCAATTCGAAATCACACACGCGGCAAGAACTCGAGCAAACTCAGGATATTTTTGCTATTGTTTATACGTAGTTTCTATGTTTAGCGCAAAAAGTCCATTAAAACCGCTATAACAGTTAATTACAAAAATTAGAAATATTTTTTAGTTTATAATATTCTGCACATGGTGGACCAGATGCTAATTGTGCACGAGTTGATCCACGTGTTTTAAAAAAAAAGCGTCAGAAAGATGAGTGAAGATTCCCTGTAAAGGAAGAAATAATTTTTTCCTGAGTATTAATATTCCCGCGACGGTGTGAAGCGCGAGACTAAATTTCAGTTAAGAATATTCTAGCGATTCATAACAAATATAAATGAATTAGTCACCAAAGCAAGCTGAATATATTTGAACAGAGCTGAGGGCCGTGAAATGCAGGTATACAGTGAGCAACTGTTCGAAAGTTGGCTCTCGTCCAGCCTCATCGCGCCACGGAAACCAACAAATAGGGAGAAATACATACAGTGGGGGGAAATAAATATTCGTACACTTGAAAAATCGTATTTTAATGAAAAGTGAACATGTTGCATTGTTTTTTGTTGCATTGAGATTTAATTTCTTTTGATAGTATTTTTGAATACTATTCGTCTCTATACATAATTTAAATCACTTTTCCTGTTAAGTTTGTGTACTTACATACATTAAAATACGATTTTCCAAGTGTACGAATATTTATTTTCCCCACTGTACATACAAGTTGTCACCGAAATAATGTTCAGTAAGCAACATGATGCAGGAAAAAAGGAGAAATTTTATCGCTTTCCAGTAGTTGAAGAACTAAAAGTAAAATTTAGGAAGATCCAAGATCTGATTAAAAACTCAAGTTGTATGAAAGTGTTCTAACAATTTGATGAATAATTTTCTCCTTTCAAATTAATCTCGATTACCATTAACATCAATGATCACACTCTACAAACAAAAGGTTATAAATAATATGCTAAAATTATATAAAAGACAGGTTAAGTAAAAGATTTCATCAATTGCCTAAATATTCAAATTATTTACTTATCAGATCTCATGGGAAAATGGAGCAAGTTTTTGATGACTATCAGATGTAATTAAATGAAGAGAAAAAACTTCATTACCGTACTTGATGTGATGATAGTCGTTATTTGGACTATTAACACTTCTGCCACCAATGCAACTCACCTCACTTTTATGATTATGAAAACCTATCCGTCCTCCAGTGAAGAATGGCGAAGAATCTGGATACGGTTTAAAACATGATTTCTTATTGAAGATATTTCTCCTTTTCCTTTGAGACCGACAACGACGGCCCCTTGCTCGGGAACGAAAACTACTTCTCAAATTTTCGTAAAAACTGGTATTCGTAGGAATATAGTCCCTCGCAAACAAATAGCAAGAATCATCTGGTAAACTTTTTGAAAGAGAAACTTCCTCTTCCAAGACGTCGAAAAGGCCTGACTCAACGGTGTCCATTTGAATGCTGTCATCTGACTTACTATCGTCAGCCTCTGCATCGGTGAAAAAAGAACTAAGACTAAGATTGCTGGGTCCAAAACTTCCCAGTCTGCTAAGGGTTCCAGAAAAACTTCGCGAGTGACAATAATTCTTCTGTCTACTCTTTCTATCAAGAGAAAATGAATAACGCGGACTAAACAAAGTTTTGAGTCGGCTCTCAGATTTGCTGCCGGACAAACTTAATTTTAGAGATTGGGATCGCTTTGCTACCCAATGAGGAGCGAGTTTATCGTCATCGGGTGAAATGGAAATCTGTTCCGTTTCTGTTTGATCTTTGTCATCCCTTAGGTCACTTTGGGATCCGATGTAACATTTAGGAGAAAATTTAATACTGTTATTATCGTTTTCTCTTTCGTGGAAACATTCTCGAGAGTCAGTGACTCTAGTAACCCACACAGTGGGAGTTTCAACAGCAGTTAGGCTGTGATGAAGTGTATTATTTTCGTCAGTTGAATAATGCTCCTGGGCGGAGGTTTTGTCAACAGACCACTCTCTTCTAACTTCAGCGATTGGTTTATTCTCAGATCTTTTGTCATTCTCTTGAGTTGGATTCTGGAAGCAGCCGACTACTGCATCGAATTCGTATTTAATTTCGAACCCACATACATCGTACTCTTGTATAGTGGGTGATTGCCAAGTCTCAATTGGAGAAAAATGTTGAACTGGGCTTGAAGTGTGAAGTTCATTTGCACCAGGAATAGGATCATTATAATCTTCATCCATACTACCCGTTGAATCAAGAACTATGGGTTCATGCGGATAGGATCCGTTATTCCGCACAGAAGTGATTGGCATCGGATCTGACCGCCTTACGGAGTCAGATGCCCGAGAAATTCTATCTGCGTCTTCCTGTTCGAAGTTACATGACGCTAGAGGCGGATAAGTTCCCAATTCTGATAAACATAAAGAAGTGCCACATCGGTGCAGAGTATTCGGTAACCGAAGCTCGTTTTGGGGGGCATCCACCAGCTCTGCATCAGCAGCAGAGGTCGCCAAGACAGCGGCGTCCATAAGGTTGGGACTAGAGGCCTTGTCGCTAATTATTTCACCATAAAACGAGCCGCCATGGCCAAAAGATGACCATGCATGAGTGCCTCGAACTCTTGAGCTTGAGGTGTCTCTGCAATCAGAGATGTCGAAAACCCGCCTCATGTTTGGCAGGCACGAGCAAGCGAGGGAGGTGCCAAGTCTTCTTTCTGTCAATGCCAAGGCATCGCGACCGCTGACGACATTGAATTCTGAAGACGCTATGCAGTTTTTCGTCGTTTCCTGTCCAGGAAAAATTTCTTGATTTACTCGAGTTGTTCCATTCATTTGTGACTTCGCGTCAGCAACTTTCCCATCGTTAAATAACGCATGTTCATATTCTTGAGCTACGGTCTCTGGTTTGTCGGGGAAACTGAATTGTAGCGAATGTCGCCACGATATCTTCCGCAATAATTGCGACGATTTATTTCTTAAAAAAACTGTGAAATCAACAGACTTGTTCAAATCTGTCGATTTTTTTAGATTTGTTACATTGTCTCTTACATTTTCTCGTAGAGCAGCCGGCAAGTAATTTTCGAACATCGCATCTGCCCCGCGATAGATTTTGTTTTCGTCAGATTTTTCTACGTGCTCTTGCGCTTCATGATTAGCGCTAACGTGTGTGGGCTGAAATGTATTCGCTTTCCCATGCTGAAGAAAGCAGATAAAATTGTCTACTAAAGTTTTCATTTCTTCCAGTACTAGAAGTATTTATGCAAATAGAATTATTGAGCTCTTCACGTGCTCTCAAAAATTTCAGAGCAAAGTAACCCTCTGTAAAAAATTAGACAAAAAAACATTGACTTTCGCCGATAGATCGCGTACATACAGAAAACTATTGAAATGAAGAGAATGATTAAGATTATTTACGCGCAAGAACGAAATTAATTGGTTAGTTACTATTAACAAACAGCCCAACAGTTTGTTTGTGTAACAACTTTCTTAGGTAACATACTGTTAACGATGCTTTCTATTTATACTTATTCCTCTTTTTATTCTATCACCCATAAAAATAAATTCTCAAAACTCTTGAAAACATACAGTCACTTCACCACCTGATAGCTTCCAAATCTTTTCGCAAAAATTCTGAACGCTTCTCAAGCGTCTATCAAGATCTTTGTTGCACAAGGCAGGAGCGAGCGGCATCTACAAGAACGAGCAACCGTCGACTGTTGCTGCTCGAGACGCGGGGCTTGGGCCGCTGCAGTGCGAGGTTGCTTGCACTGCACACGACACACACGGGCAGCAATGTCCATCCGTGAACTGAGGGAAGTTGTCTGATTTTGAAATCATGCTAATTTATAAACGGACTCGGTGAGGAAATCTGGTAAATTATACTTAGATCGAAGTTTAACAATACGATTCTTTTGAATTGTAATGGCAAGTCATGAAGCTAAGCATGTTTTTGTCAGAATTTTGTTCAATTTTTGAGGGTGAGCAGATTTCCATAATAAACTTATTAAATTTTTTAGTGATAAGGAAAAAATTTTAGAAAAAAACATCAGTAATTTAGGGACGTCTTCATTTTCACTTCTTAAATTCACATGTTGAAGAAAGAAAAACAAGCATCCACTCGCAAGTGCTCGTCAAGTAACCCAAAAATTATTATATTACTTGAGAATTTAAAATCTATTTGGGAATGTTCACTTCCTAGCTAAACGAATTTAATCAAACGCATTTATCTATAGTATCATCAAAAATTGCGGAGACCAACCAAGTTCCTGTCACGAGAAGCTTTTTTTTATAAAAGTTAGAAAATGCAGGCAACCAACACGTTCCCTGGCAGCGTTTACATCGTCTGTGCCAAGCTCACCATGTGATGCTGGGACGGGTAGTCACATGATGTGCAATGCGCGCGAAAATATAAAATGTAAAATTAATTCGACTGAAGTGAGTAAATATTGAAATTCCGCTTCTCTATAAACCCACTCAGTAAATTCGATTTTCCCCATGAAAATTTATTGTCGTAACTCTGAATCTCTCGTTCGGAAATTACATGGTGATTTTAAAGCCATGTTTTTGTTCTTCTGACTACGTACGGTAATCTTTTAAATTAACAGGATTCCTAAACATAATGTTCTAACACGAACATAAAAACAATGATCATGTTGATAACCAATAAACTTGAATGAATAAAATTTTCTCCTTCATTCGCATAGTTTTTGGTTATTTAACTAGAGAACTAACGGTTAGCCCCCAGCGTTATAACTATAGGATCGATAGTCGTTGCAATATCTGAATCTCGTTATCCCGAGTCCCACTGATTAAGATAAAGAAACGCTAAGGAAAATCTGTTCAAACCCATGTTTAATAGAACTCCTATTTCACTATTCACGATGTCAGACTTTAATTAAATGCACGAACACACAAACATATATAAACAAACCTTCACAAATACATATGAGATTAAGTTAATGGAAATTAATCTTTGCCAACATCCATCGTGGACATGTTAAGGATTATCAGCACTCAATTCGGTAGACAAGATACAAGTCAACTAATTTCTTGGATAATTTCCTTAAAGATAACTTTTGAATGTGAAGAAAAGCGCGTTCTCATGTCTTGAGTGCGCAAGTAAAGATATTATTGAATGCTCAAATTATGTTCGTCTAGTGTGTTTTAAAAATGTACGAAAATTCATGCTAGGATAATCAATAATATTTTGCCAACTAGATGCACGCATTTTCTTCTCAAATAAAAAGTTGATAATATTTTTGTACTCGTATTACTAGAAAAGCTGAGACGTTTTTCGTAGCGCAATTTCGGTATATATTATTAAGCCACAGGACGAATTTGAACCGGCCATTTTTAGCAAAATTTATTCAGCAATGAAATGCACGGTTAATGGTTTAAGAGTCCACGTACAATGAGGCACAGTATTTTTTTTTTTAGATTAGAGCGATATTCGCGTCAGCGAATTTCTTTGTGCCGACATACAGGGAAAAAAGTTCGACGATGCCACAATATGTCTACGCAGCAAGTGAATACACCTGCATTATAATTAGACCTTAACAACTGGAATACTAATGAAAACATTTATAATATTGTTGCTCAGCACAAACATTAAAATTGCAAAAGGCGATATCGTTTTCCATCAGAAGTCGTGTCATGAAAAGTGTGTGAAATATCATAGCGGTACTTCCAATACTTATTCAGTAAGCAAAAAAAATTTCCTTGCAGAATAATGTTGTTGATGGAAACAAAAAGTAAACGTACAAGCTTCACGGCTGGTAATAAAAGGCTCATCAGGATGATCCCAAGGTAAGGGTATCGATCAAATTGAATGATGGTTGAGCTGGCTGGTTTCTGCTGAGTCATCGGTATTGGTGAAGGCCTTGATTATAATTTATTATTCACATTTGAAGAGCATGATGAGACATCGAGCAAGGCATTGAGGACTGCGCTGTCATAAGTGGAATGCATTGGTACGCAGTAAATAAATATCAAATGCAAGCGAATATATAATAGCACTGCAGGTGAAATAATATTTTAATCTGTCGCCTTCACCATCTAGGGCACGACTGACGTTCGAATATTAAATATACGAACTGTAAAAACAATTCTATTTCATTGCACTTTAGCTCAATTCATTAATTGGTTGTGTTTCAATGGAGGCAATGGCCTTCTTATTTTAGAGTATGAAATTCCAGAAATAGTGAACATTAGACATTCTATCTAATTCAAGAATTGAATATTAAAATTAGGATTAAAAAGATGCGTAAGAACTAGAAATTCCTGTAACCATCGTTTAGACACATGGTGTGGTAGCCATAATTATCGGAAATTAAACAGTTCGTGGTTATTCGATCAGTTTGTCGTCAACTTCAGATACGATAATCAGGACACCCATGTGAATTAAATGGATCGACCAACTTGAGCAATTACTGTTAAGACTTGGAGAATTTTCCTGCCGGCAAGGACGAATTTCAGAGAAGGATTTGCGGCGTTCATAAGAGGACTAAAAATAGTGTTTATTACTCACGCGAATGTGAACAAAATTTGAAAGCTTCATAACCGCATTACGAACAAGCAAAACAGGTTAATAGTAAAGCATTAAAATGGACAGTGCATCCATGTTAACTCTCGTCGAACCTGCGTCTTTCATAAGAAAAAACGAATGGGAGGGTTCAATGGTTTCTCAATATTCGTTACTTTATAAAAAATACACAACTAATTATAGCGTTAGACTACGTACATCACACACTTTAAATTTTATGCCAAATACATTGATACGTTAAAACGACCGATCAACCGTTACTTGTCGAAAATATTTTCAATTGTTAGTATTTATTTAATGAAATATCTTAACGTTCGTTGCATTAGTTCCATGCTCCTTGTACCTATATATATTTAGCGTTGAGAAATAGAAATTGGAGGAGTAATTCTTCAACAATTCACTTGTATCTTATTAAGACTTTCCTCATTTTTGCATGACCTGCATGCCTAAATTTCAGGCACCACATAACGGCACAGTATTATAGTACTCAAAGCAACACTTTAATAAAAGCATTTCAGAAATTCTTCAACTATTCACTTGTATCTTCCAAGAATTTTCCTCACTTTCCTCCTCCATACCGTAATTTCACATAAAGGCGCCGTATTCATTATAGTACTCAACACTTAAAAAGCAGCACCGTTCGCCGACACATTACCAGCATAAGCTTGAGACAACTACGAGCATCACACGGTAGCCTAAGCCAGAGTCCGCATCTCACTGCACTTGAGCGCCGTTTCCTGCCTATACTGAGCCCAAGACAATCCGTCCATTGAAGTCTCGCCGAACGCATTAGCGTGTGTAAATACCGCTAACCGGAATTCAGATACATGGCATGTTTGCTACAGTGAGTTATTTATCATCGTATTTTATCGCAAGGTAAACAATGAAATCGTCAATGATAGATAAACATGGTCAGCGATAGACGTGCAGGCATTATCGTATAACTTACACAAACCGCACGACGTTTGGTAGTGGCACAGCCGTAGATAATTCTTCCATTAATGTATGTATAATTAATATGAACGATATACAACATGAGAGATATCCTTAATAGTTTTAGTCGTTATATGTAGTTTTTGTCTAGTTAAAACTTAAACGTATTAGTTATGACACATAAACTGTTTAATTTTCCGATCTAAAAAAATCGTTTTGTCCGTTTTACCGGGTTTCCTAATCAATTGTATTGGCAATGAATTAAAAGGATAAGATTTTCATTTATAATTTAAACTTAATTTTCTCGTATTAAAGTGAAAACGACGTGGAAACTCCAAACACAATATTTAATACTTCTATACGTTCGGACGTTAGAACTCTATAAATTAAGGTGTTCGAAATTTAATACGATATGTATATATGCACACAAAATATATTATGAAAGGCTATCGTCTTTCTTAAGTAAAGGAAATTGAATATATTACCGTGTATGTTATCAGGGCTTCGGAGCTAGGCACTTACCTGAAAGGACAAATATAAAAATATTTTAGAGATAAACAGTTCGGAAACGAGATAGAATTATAGTTTCAAACCAGGACATATATGTATAATAGTATCAGTTTTTGAACATTTTTGAATAATATTGTTGGCCAATATGAGCTGTAAAATTTTGCGAATAAAAATATATGATGGAATATAAATAAATGCTAGCGCATTAGTTGACCAATAACTGATTATTATATTATATACTCACATAAATGTAATATATTATTTAATATTAATTGA